ATGGAGAAGTGCACATGGGTGGGAGAAAGAACACAAGATGGCATTTCATCATCAGCAATACGGTTTCTCCATGAACACTGAGACAGGCAGAAACTGACCTGCCCGCCTTTCTAGAGATTGATGCCTTTTTATTTCCTTACATGCACACTGAGCTTCCTGCTGCCAGACCCACGGTGCTCCAGAAACCAGGACACGAGCTCTGCCTTTGTGACTAGCTTCAGGGCTTCGATCTACAGGGAGGAGAGGACAACGATGAGGAACACGCATCACTACAGCTCACTCTTTTATGACACGGAAACATTTCTATCTCCATCTGTACCACAGGCATGTTCCAATACTTTCCCCTTCCAAAGAATGTAAAGCCTTGCTTAGATAGAACTCTTTTCAATATTACAATTGCTTGAAGGATCCAAAAAGGCCATCTTAATTCTCAGTTCTCAGCACACTTGTGGACAACAGATTCCAGGACGTTGCTCTTTATCAATAAATTGATCAATCCTAAACAACAACAAAACGTCTTTCAAGTTACTTACAGCTGGACAGGTTTTTGGGGTTTTGTACTGTATTCATTATTAATGTTAATGCTGAGGCACATACAGTAGCATTTCAACATCTCACACATTCTGCGCCTTCATCTATGAACCCCTTCTCTCCACCTCTGCATGACGCAGAAACAAGGCCACGTTCATGAACCACCCTGTAAGCACACAGGCTGCTGAAGGCTGTACCTCGCGGTTCAGGCGGTCGAAGACATACTGCTGGGTGACCACTTCAAACCAGTTTCTGTCCACCTCTTCACCCAGATGAGTGTCTTCACACTCCTTCAGCTTGATCAGCGCTGTCACCTGCACAGACGGGACAACGGAAGTTGAGAGCCTGGCAGGAGCTCATGCACATCCTTTTTCCACTGATTTCATATTCCCTACCTCTTAAACCGAGTCTCGTTTCTTCACAGTCTGCTTTCCAGAAAATGTAAACGTTTGCTTTGGACTCAACCTGTACACTTTTAAAACACACGTCAAAGCACAGCATTTTATAATAACAGTTCCCTTATGGTTAACTTACCCCTGTTTATCTCACACTGTCTTAATTGTTTAAAAAGACTAGATCAATACAAGCATTTCCTCTTGTAGGTGCTCTGACAAATTTGGGAAGAAAGCTGTCATTAATCAGCTCTATCATTCTGGCTTCTGCCCCTGACACTCCTATTGGGTTTTCCGCACTCTCCTATACAAACTCCCCCTTTTGCACATTCTACATGTCATTGCACAGTGTTGAATTACTGGGGGCATCAGCATTTGCAGTCTGAAAAAAAAATGTTTTCAGTAGACCAGTCTGAAAAGCAGAGCTGGCTGCCCACAGGAAGGTAAGGGGTATGATGAAGGTGTAGGCACAGGGCCAAACTACAGCTTCATGAGGTTTTGTGGAACCCTGAACTGGCAATAAGCAGGAGGACACAGGAAGTGTGGGCACCTATTAAGAGTTCTTATACTGTACGTTGTCACAAAGAACCTAAGACAGCATATAAAACTACTTCAGACTGATTGATCAATAAGCTGCTCACAGCCAAAAGAGCAAGGTGGAATCACCTCCTCATTTATACATTTCTTATGTTCAAATATATCCACAAAAAATGTAGTTAACTTTTTAAAGAAAAAAGTAAAAACTGAATTTTTTTACTTGAGCTACTTTTCAGCAAAGGAAATCCCAAACTAACTTAAGCCTTCTAATTTCCTTACATTTGAATTTTGAATGACTATATAAAAGATCTGTGGAGTGATCAAATCCATGGTACAACAAAGCAAAGGTTCTGACCACAGCTGAGTACATTTTATTATTTTACGGAGGAGAGTTCTCTCTCATCATGCATGAGGATTATGAGATGTCTCACCTGAACTTTGAAAGCATCGTCTGTTAAACTAGACAATTTTTCTCCAAAGCTGACAAGGAACTCTTCGATCTTCTTCTCCACAAATTCAGTCCTGCAAGAAACAAATATTCATTGTTACTGGATTTTGCAGAGAAGACCGGTTATTAGTACAGCAAATTCCACTTTAAAAATAGTTTTTGATTCATGTGTCAATATTCTGACACTTTGGCCTACAGAAAATGAAAGTTTTTTTTCTACATTCATATTAAGTCTTCACAATGAGATGTAACACATTACACATGGAGGGGATGAGTAACTTATCAGGGATATTTTATAGGCAGACCTTAAGAAACAGATGAACAAATGAAGCCATAAGGTAAAGAAAATGCTATTCTTTTTACAGTACAATTTAAGATAAGATGCTTACCAGCTTTAAAAATCAGAAACACTTTTTTTTCAAACCCTTTTCCAAAACTCACAAATGATTTCATCATTCTGTAATGCATTTCTTTTGTCCATTCACCTAGACTGTAAGGTTCTGAACATGTATACATGTTCCTGGGAACAGCCTGAATAGGCATTTCCTGGTTTCCTTCTCCCTCAGGTGCAACACATAACAGTAACTACACTCTCTTGATTGAAAACTGTCTTTCTGCTGCCTGAAGTGTGCTGTTGACGTCTTTCTTAGTGAACAGTGGAGTACGTTCTGCCAGAAAGACTGTATACCAGGACGACAATGTCCCCATCTTCAGAATACCAAAAGATGTGGTCATCAACAACCCCCAACAGACTGATGAGCATGACACTGATGTTATCCAAATCTTGGCCTTCTCAGTTACAAGATCTGAACCCAATCAAGCTTTTATGGTATAATCTGAGACAGCGTTTTCCTCTAACTTCAACCGTAAGAGAGTTTATTTGACTTTGCATGCAAGATTAGTGGTGCATTCCTCCTGGAGTTCTTCAGACACTGGTAGATTCCTGCAGAATACCATGGTGCATTCAGATTCTACTGGCTGCAACATGGTAAAATGTCTTTACATTGGTGTTTCCATTTTTATTGTCCACTATCTGTACATACTATGGTAGTTTTGGGATATCCGGTGAAAATTTCACTTATTTGCTCCCACATGCCACATTTGCTCATACTGGAGCAGTAATGATAGCCCGCTGGCTACGTCTTTCAGCTTTAAACTTTAACTATATTACCAACATTGCCCAAAATTATCCAATCCCTGGCACAAAGTACAACCAACATGCCTACAAAGCACACAGAAAGTGCAGAAGAAAAATTCCTGCTAAGCTGCTACACAATTAAGGAAACATGAGACTGAAAAACAAAATCAAGTTTTTCACATTTTTATGGAAAGGATTCCTAATTCAGGCCAATTAGCCCTGAAATATATCAAAACTTACACAGTCAGCAAATGTCATGATTAAAACTCACTTGAACTTTGTTGCCTGAGTCTCCACAGTGACTGAGAAGCCCAGGACTCCTGAAGTGTTCCTGCACGTGGGATAGACATGATACCTGAAAGAGTGTAAACCGCACAATCAGGGTTATAACAGAGCCTCTTAGCACTTGCTACTACCTAAGGCAGGAAAAAGCAGATGTATGATATCAAGTTAAAAAAAACAGGTAACACCTGTACATTTATTCAGACTTGCATGGTTTAGAAATTTGAAAGCCATGTTTCATTTTGCACAGCGATATGTTTATAACAGGATAAATGTGGTGTCACTTTATCCAGTGAAAATTCATTTTGACAAGGCTGCAAGTTCTTAGGGTCTGTGATTTAGTCAGAAGTATGATGTGTTGGAAACAAACAAGGTACTTTGTTGAAAATAAATCACCACCATATATTTGTATTTGTTAAATGCATGCAACGTTTGAAGAGCATAATGTGTTTAACCAAAACGCCTAGCAGTTAATAGTATAATCTAAACAAGGAACCTAAGCCAAGGATAAGTATGGAAGGGAAAGCAGGACCTCTTCAGACAAAGAGCTGAGGCTGCTTGAGAAACCTAATCAGACTTGTAAAAGCTGATCCACCGCAATACTTTACAAAACAGTTTGGTCTGTTACTGGGGAAAATAAGCTGCCCCTCTCTAGTCCAAAAAAACTAAAGAAGCAACGTGACCCAGGAATACACAACAACTGAGCCCGACCCCGACTACAGCACATCAGCCCTGACCATGCTCACAGAAATTTCCAAAAAGATGACGAGAAGCCTCCCGAGACACAAATGACGGCAAAAAGGGAATGCTGGCTTATTGGAGCCAGCACTCTCTTGCTGTGAGAGTGGGATCATGTGCCCATGCTGCCAGCGTGGCTGGGACACAGCGCTTACCCAAGGGTTTCCTTTGTCCTTAAAAAGTCAAAGCAGGGCTCCTCCATGTGCATCTGGAAAAGTAAAGCAGCTCTTTAGTGCAAGCCACTGTCAGCACCTGAACAACACCTGTACCGGAAAGCAAACCAGGAACTGGCTCAGCTTTCCTTCTATAGGATATTCATGGCCATTACTTACCACAAGCAACTCCATTAAAGTGTGCTCCCTGAGGTTCTTAGGCCCAGACTAGGAAAAGGAGAAAAACATCTATGAAGTAAGGTCTTAGCTGCCATGGAAAAAAAAATAATTGACTGGGGATTTTTTTATTTTTATTTTTAATATTTTAATGGCAATTTTTAAGATCTAGAAACATGCAAATGTGAATCCACAGCTATGAAGTGCACTGTAATAATTTAATCAATTTCAGGAAACCGGTGGTCATAGCTACAGTACAGCACAGCTGCAGAGTTTGGCAGCATCAGATAAGGCACATAGTCAGGTCACAGGTCTGTTCCCAGGGGTTGCAGCTAAAGGCTCTGAGCACATCATGAACTGAGGTTACAGGCATCTAACGCAGAGCCTGGCTGTGGGACCAAGAAAAGCAACAATGCCTCATTCTGGATGTCAGTGCGGAAGGATATAGAAAAGTAAAACAAAAGCAGGCTATCAAAAGAAAGCAGTGTGGTATCATTGAATACACAGTACATATTGTACACACACACACACGGTACAATATAAATGTACCAGTATATGAGACTTGAGGATATGCACTTCTTTTTCTGGAGAGAAGTGAAGGATCAGTATTTGTCTGCTCACAGACTAAAAGGGACTGAAAAGAAACGATGCCTGCAGCAACCAAATGAACAAGATCCACTGTTCATTACAATGCTCATGTTCTCTGGAATACCTGATAGTAAACTGTGACTTCAGAGTTGGCATCTCCCTTGTTGAGCGACTTCACTTTGCACAGTGAGTGTTTTTGCGGTAGCTCCACCACCCTGAAGTGAACAGGGACCTCTACAGACAGACGCTGGAAATTCAGTTTTCTAAGAGAGGCAGAAGGAACAGAAACCGAAACGTTAAATGAATCTGAAATAGTTATATATTTTGAAATGTCCACATTCACTCAGTGCTGTTTCTAATACAAACTTCTTATTTTACCAAATGTCTTGTCCTCATCAAAATTAAATAATCAGTTTTTGTGAACGTTGTGCAAAAACAATGCTTTAAATGGTATATGTACAGTTATAATTATACTGGGTACAAGTAGTGCACACTATTAGTCAAATTACTTTAAAGAAGTCAATAAAAAGTCTCCATTGCTTTGGTTAAAGTCAAAAGCACATAGAAGGATTGGAGAAAATTAAAGTGTATCTGGACAGGTTTCTTTCACTAGATAAACTTTTATCTTAAACCCAAAACTAGAGATAGCCTGGCCTAGTGAACTTTCCTATGATGGGTTCCAGGACCCTACAGATAAAGCGTGACTCTTTTGTGTATGTTTTGTGAGGAAATAATAAGCCCTAAGATCTCAGAATTTAGATGCAAGGATCTATAAATGTTTATGCACAATTGTGCAGACCAGACCACTTGACTCTTACTGTAGGGAAATAAACCACACCTTCAGTCACCACACAGGAAAGTCAGAATATCTATGAAAAAAGAATGACTTACTTTATAACATAGTGAAGGAACTCCATTGCTTCCTATGGTGAAAAAGCAAAAATTACCTTTCGTCTGAATAAGCAAAGTGGTCATATTTACTAAAGATGAAAGTTAGTATTAGAGACTGTTCTATTCAGATAATATAGTCATATACAACGGAAACAACAGTCATAATAAGCTGTTTTTTTGGCAAAAGAGCTAAAATAAGCAAGAAGCAAATGTCACTGAAGAGCTGCCTGTTAAACAGACAAAGAGCAGAGGTGTGCTAGAGAGATTCAGACACTAACAAACATCATGATGGTGACAATAAGAGCAGCTGTGCAGATAATGTTGCTGTGATGACAAGGAAATATTAAAATATAAAAAAAGAGCAGCCTTTACAGTCCTGGTCTGAAGTGTGAATGTCCGAGTGGCTGGGAGGGCCTGTGACACTCACTGTGCTGGTGAAGTTCCCCTGGACCAGCCCCTCTGCGAATAGCTCTGACTTGAACTGGCTAACAAAGACCATGAGGTCATCCACTGTAAGCCCCTTCATGATGGCCTGGTACTTCTGGATCATGGACCAGCGGGCCTGCTCCAGAATCAGCAGCCGGATATCCCTGCAAGGCCCAAAAAAAATCTTGAGAACACGAGTGGGTGAACAGCCTAACGAAGAGCTTCAGCAACTGGAGTAAGAGAGGATACAATGGTGGCTATGCTATTTTTATATTTTTTATATTTTATATTTTTATATTATATTTCAGCATTGATAAGTGCATTTCAAACTACAGTGAAAGTAAAATCTGCACAATAACATATAAAACCTCCAATTTACACCACAAAATACACTAAATTTCCAGGTACACGCAGCGCCATGTTCTGTGATTCAGAACGAGGCAATAAATCTTCCAGTGAGGTAAAGTGGCCCTATTAGACTGTAAACAAACAGGTTTGTGAATACATCTCTTTTAATATAGCAGAAATATTGCTCTCAACTTCCAGACAGTTTTGCTGACAAGCACTACTTCCTTGCATGCAACTCTGCATGCATGTTGGAACTTTTCTGTGGTAAAATGTCTGCTGCACAACCTGTCTTATTCACTGGTGTACATCACATTACATTAGACATTACAGTGACTAGTGGGCAGGAAGGGCCGCTTTCTTTTACAATTTCCGAGAACTCTCACAGCTCTCCGTTCACAATTTTGTGCTTAATTCAGAAATGGTAAAATTCTGAGATACCGTCAACAAATGTTTTTTGTTATCAAGATTTAATAACCTGTGTGATAAACTGGCAGGAGCAAGATCTTAAGTGAACAAAATTGTCCCCCTTCCCTTCCAGGCAACTCACTTGCCCAGCTTGTCTGGTTTGATCAGGATGTTAAAGTAGGTCTTCTTCAGCTGCTCAGCAATCATTGAGAAGACATCCGGAGCTGCAGTGAAGTCGGCCAGGTAGTCAATGATGAGGTTGAACAGCAGCTGCAAGGAAAACATACACATCCCTCACACTGGTGTACTGGGGTCCACAGCTGTGCCACCACAGCTGTGTGAAGTTGAACTGGGACATTCAAATGTACTGCCCAGATGTTATTAAAATAATCGAGGAGTCAGATGTGTGCGACACTGAGGGCAAGGGAGACTATGCTCTTGTAAAAAAACCAAAAAGTTCTCCTTTATACTCACGGGAAGCTTGTGGTTGAAGCCCTTCACTTTTATTACAAAGCCATGCTCGCCAGCCACTAATTTGTACTCCAGCTGTGCAACATCTGCTTCATAAGCAGGTTCAGCCAGGTTATGAGCCAGGATGTTCACAAAGATGTCAAATAAGACCAGGCTGCAAGGCAGAGACAGAGTAATGCTATTTTTAGCACTGGATATTTCCTACCACTTCCTACAAATCAGAATTATTGATTCATAATTTTACACTCCCCCCCAACTCCCACTCTCATTTCTAATGTCTGGACTAAAGAATTCTTGATTAACCTGAGCTGCTACAGAAATCTTAATAAAAAAAAAACATCACCGGGAAAGTGAATTATTGCCTCAGGAGCAGGTAATTTATGTTGATAATTATCTTTAATTCCAATTTAAAGAAATAGAAAATTAGGCAGTCATTGTAAAATGCAGAAGGGATAAGACTTTTCTCCCTAATGACACAAATCTATACATAATCTAGAGACAAAAGTCACAGCCCAAACTGGACAAGAAGACCACACTACAAAGAGCAGTAGCTCAGCAAACATCAGGACAACTAGGGAGGTTTCATTTGATTCTGTGGGTAATGCCAAATATCACTATCTCTTTTAGTATCACAGTACTGGCACAGACTTCAACTTCAGCTACTTGCATGGAATCATTACTACATAATGCTAATGTGTTGAATTAAAATTCAGCTTATCTGCTGCAGTAATGTACTGATTTTTTTAGAAAAATGGGAAGATGCTATCAATCAAATGGAGAATTCAGTATTTTCCAAATTGCTACAGCTTACTTACTTCTCAGGAGACTGCTGAATCAGGGGAGATATGAGGTGGAAACGAATATAAGCTATAGGAAAACAAAAGAAAACGATGCTTTCACTTTTCTTTGCTTTAAATTTTGAAGTCATGGCACTTTGAAGTAACATTTAATAATCTACTAGACACATGAAATACTCCACACCTTCAAAGCAATATATAAATAGAAGGAGATAATATATATTGCTTTTATATATAATATAAAAGAAAAATGGACAAGTAACAATTGCATTATTATTCAAACCCTTCCCTTTGCTGTGGCAAATCTAATTTAGATGCATGAAATTACATTAATGAGCTATACAATTATTTGAGTGGCTTCTGCGTGCAATAATTGATATAGTTTGAAATCGCTAACATCTATAATTGTATGGTCCCTCAGTCCAAAGAAAATTTCAAGCAGACTCATCTGTGAAGACCAATGAGTTTTCTAAACAACTCGAGGTTAAAGCTGCATCAAGGCACAGATCAGGAGAAGGGTACAAAATATTTCCAACACCCTTAACATTTCTTTCAGCATGGTGAATTCACTCATTAAGAAGTGGAAGACACCCAGACCCTGCCTAGATCAGGCTGTCCCTCCAAACTGAGCACTCTGGTAAAGAGGAAACTGGTTAGGTATGCCACTGTGGGGACAACAGTTCTTTTGAAAGAGTTATCTCACTGAAATGGGAAAAAAATATTATTTGTCAATAACATTCCAGTAATATGGGTCACTCCATGAACAGGGATTGCGTCTAAATGATACTGCAAACATGTAGCAAAAGGTTTTGTGGTCAGACCACAAACTGGAACTTTTTGGCCTAAAAGCAAACCATTACTTCTGATGCAACATAGTGCATTACTCAATCAGAAGGTCTAAGTCTTTTGGGCAATGGGATTGATGCTTTTATTGGCTGTGTGGGTCAGGCACTAAGGTTGATGGCTGAGATACAGTAGCAGTTTAAATACAAAGAGGTCCAAAAGACCACCATATATCTAAAGACAATGATGCCCATTACAAACTATAACTAACCACACACAGTCACTCACAGAAACTATGCATGAACAGCTGCTGTAATGGAGTCAATGACAACACAAATCATCTAAATACAGAAAACCAAAAGAAGGATCGTGTCCAATTTTGTCTTAGGCTCTTGTTTTATAGCTGCTGTTCTAACACACCTTTGGGAATTTTGAACTTGTTGTCCTTCTTGAACCACAAGCAGCCCTTCTCATTGTTGAGGATTCTGATGGGATATTCTGTGTCAGGGCAGTCTGAGGCTTTTAGAGTGAAATCCGTGGCTGTGGAGAGAACAACAGTGTTAATAAGGCAACACATCAACCAGAGGACAACCAAACTCGTCAACGGAAAAATGTAAATCTTCCTTGAACTTTTATTTCACTACTAATTGAACCTCTTCAATTATGAAGTTTCATAACCCTCCAAATTTGAGAACGATCAAATGATAAAGCTATATCATTGTTGGCTGACATACTAAAGCACATCTTAAAGCTGCCAAGAATTTTGTAAAAAAAAAAAATTGGTATACATAGCTGGAATACTGGAAAAAAAGGATTCCAACCAACTCTAATAATAACATTCGCAAATTTCAGCCTGTGTTTGGGCATGTTCGACTTCAGCTTTAGTATGGATCTGTCACAGTGCAGCACCCTGGGATTTTCACAACTACTGGGTTGCTCATGGTTGGCTCCTACTGGTACAGTGCGGTGGCTCTTTGGCTAAGGACCTGGGCCTGTGGCTGAAAGGTTGCCGGTTCACAGCCTGCGGCTGGCAGAGAAATCCTATTCCATTGGGCCCCTGAGCATGGCCCTTAACCCCAACTGCTCCAGGGGCGCCGCATAAATGGCTAAGCCTGACCTCTGACCCCAAGCTTCTCTCCCTGTCTGTGCGTCTCATGGAGCGCAAGATGAGGTGTGCAAAAAACAAATTCCTAATACAAGAAATTGTATACGGCCAATAAAGTGATCCACTTTCCACTGAGCCCCTGTGTTCAAACCCTCTGTAACTTGAGGTCAGAGACACAGACTGGGTTTCAAATTGTTTCTGGTCTAAACCTGCAAACAGGCGTGGAACAGGCACCCTTGTGATGTGATTATGACTGTACTGGTCTTGCAGTCATAGCGCATCTTATAGTTCTTTACCTCTATCTACGTCTGTAGAGGTTTGATTATGTCAAAGATCTAGTTTGACTGCTGCACCTTTGCACAAAAAACAAACTTCCAAAACCTACACACACAAAAAAAGAAAATTCTGAGACTAAACCAGCACTGATCTCACTGAAAAGTACCCAGTGTTTTAAGGATATTTCATTCATATTAATAAGGGTGGTGTAATTACAGTATATAACACAATATTCCAAAATATTTTAAAATAACTATGATTAACTACAGAAAACATTTCAATGTCAAGAGGGTAATTAGCATATTTTGCTAAATTGGCTTCTAGTGAATGCAATGACTTCCCATCACTTTTTGAAGAACAAGTATTTTGTTGTAATATAAAAACAAAAAAAACACAAAAGTACTATAAATAATACTATGTAATGGTTGCACCTTGTATTTACATAAATTATGGTATATATGACCTCTTTAAAACACATTTCAATCAAATCTGTCCTGGCACAGCAAGTGAATTTGACACCTCTGTTGCAGACAGTTAATATTCAGAGACAGCAATAGTGAAGCTCAGGTTCTTAATTACCGATAAACATGTTTTCTGCGGGGAGGTGTAAGTCTGGGTTCAGCTCAAAGTCCGCAGACCAGCTCTTGCTCCATTCCTTGTCAATTTCTGTAAAAACAGGAACAATTAATTCCTTGAAGGATTAGCAGCAACAATTTGGATTAAATTTAAACACTATAGTTCTTACACATTAGTTTTCAAGTATGATTTTATATGTAATTCTTAAAATCTTTCAAAACTAGCCAATCTAAGGGATTTCATTTAATAATGAAAGATGTGTATCTGTCTTCGGGACTTTTCTGCTCTGTTCTGCACTGTCTCAGAGAGGGAGGGTCAGTGCGTCTCTCTCTGCTCTGTCCTGCGCCATCTCAGAGAGGGAGGGTCAGTGTGTCTCTCTGCTCTGTCCTGCGCCGTCTCAGAGAGGGAATTTCCCAGGCCTGTGAGGTCTCGATGAAGGAGTGGCAGTGTTTCTTCTCTTCCTTGCACTATGCATGCTATTCTATGAAGTGTGCACTTGTCAGAGGAACCTGTAAGCCTCATAACTCTTCAAGAAAAGGCATGGCTCTCACTGAGAGCAAGTTTATGGATAACTTTTTCTGGAAATGGAATTACAAAGAGCCCATAAGCCTTAAAACCCATTTAATAAGGTAAAGTGGACTTTCTTTACTTTGCAATCTTTTAAAATACAGTTAAAATGAGACACCACTCCAAAATTACCATGTAATTTTAACACACACATGAGATAGTTCCCCTCACCTTCCACACTGTACTGGGTTCCAAACCACTTCTCCTTTAGCTCACAGCGCCCCTCGTTGTCAGGAGACAGTAAAAGAAGGTTGGCCTTCTGTGGTGTAAGGAGATTGAGGGCAGCAGATATGATCTAGGAAATAAAACCAGACATATGAAATTTTATCTTTTATCTCTACAACACAGGGAACACCAAAAAGCTATCCACATGCACATAGTGTAAATCTTGTTAAGTCTGGTGTTCCTCGGGGCTGAAAACTGGGCCCCTTGCTCTTCAGCATTTACATGTTTCCACCCGGTAAGCTTTTAAGATCAGCTATCATTTCTACACTGATGATACTCAAATATACATCCATACCAAACCTGACACTTATGTAGCTGTCTCTATTCTATCTTACATAAAAACTTGGATGACTCAAAATTTCCTTCATCTTAACTGTGACTGAAGTCTGAGGTCATGCTTATTGGCACCCCCCATCAACTCTGTAAAGCCAATCCTGTAACCCTATCGGTAACTGGTTCTGTACTTGAGCTTCAATCAAAATGGAAAAACCTTGGGGTGATATTAGATTCCGGCTTAACATTCAACCCAAATGTGCAGCATATTGTCAAAACATCTTTCTTTTCACCTCAGAAATATCGCTAGACTACGCCCTATGTTATCACCAACTGTGGCTGAAAAGCTGATCAACACATTAGTGTTCTCTCGAATTCACTACTGTAACGTTCTCCTCGCTGGGGTATCAATCTACTTTGAACAAACTGCAGTATGCCCAAAATTCAGCAGCCAGGATCATGACCAGATCTAGTGCAAGTGATCACATTACTCCTATCCTGGAGTCCTTGCACTGGCTTCCTGTCAAAAGTCCATGTGGACTTTTGAAAATCTTCATGCTCGCCAATAAGGTTCTGCATGGCTTGGCACCTCAGTACCTGTCTGAACTATTATCGCCCTACTCCCCACCTGGCAACCTTCGCTCTTCTAATTCTGGTTTCCTTACTGTCCCCCAAGCCTGTCTACATTCCAGGGGTACGGGGCCTTCTCCTGTTTTACCCACAAGCTCTGGAACTCTCTCCCCAAGGATACCAGAGAGTCACCTTCTGTAAACTCCTTCAAATTCAGACTCAAAACCTTGTTCTTTAGAAGAGCCTTTACTTAACTGGTTCTGTGCTTTACCCCTCTGCTCCTACTATACTTAGTACCACCATCCACGGTCTCCCCCGTGTATTGTATCTACACTGTGTATTGTATATGTGTTTTAACTTGTGTATTTTTTATTTATTGATGTCATTCTGTAAAGCGCTTTGAGAAGCCACCTTTAAAGGCGCTATATAAAATCAAATTTATATACATAAATACCTCAGGCTTGTACTCAAACATCAGCTGGTCCCCAGTGAGGAAATCTTCCTTTGGGAAGAGCTGCATGTTCTCACAGACGCTCTCCACATAGTCAATTGGATCTGTCTGTCAGAAGAAAAAAGAGTTCAAGAGTTTATTGTAGTGACCATGTGTGCAGTTCAAGGACACCACACTCTCTGTATCTGAAATGCTGTAGAGTGCCGACTTTAAATTCTATCTAGAGACCCAATATGCACAATTGAAACAGCGAGAGGATATAATTACCTGCTCCTGATAATGAAACTCATTGTCCTCAATCTTCTGAATTTCTTCATATATTCTGTGGGGATAATGAGTAAATAACAGAACTTAAACATCATGCAAATTTAACGTTAAATGGTATGCTTGGCAACGTTACTGTTTCAGTTCAAATCAAATTTTTCTGTAGTCTCAAAATATCAGAATATATACTTTTATCAATCCATAAAGTGAAATTAATGACAACATCACACTACAGTAGTAAAACATTTGGTTTAGACAGCTTATTTGAATACTCCAATTATGAAGTCGCACACGTCGTACAATGACTATCTTCAGCAGTGCAAACACACCCATGCCTTTAGCAAAAAAAAGAAAAATATTCAAAGAAGCATCAAGGTGCATGATTAAATATTCTTTCAAGGCACTAATGTTTAAGATACACTTTAATGTTACTTCTGATTAAATCCTACCTCTGTTGAGAGCCCATAGTTTGAAGCATTTTCAGATATTGGAATACTAAGTGAGCAACCTGGAAAAGAACAAAAAAACCTATTTAATTGCTGATCAACAAAGACCAAAACAGCTGCCTACAACCTAAATGCACAGCACAGATCTGAAGTCCTTCACTCTAATCAAGTAGTTTTTGTGTGCTTAATGCAGCACTCAATACTACACCTTCTTCTACACAAGACTTGAATTATGCAAGTGCAACTTAAGTAAACTCCTCCCATGGGTCCCATTGAAAATAAATTCTGAGTTAAGGAGAGTTCTTGCCATACTTAAGTAGTAGGGTACATTTCAACCACGGATAAACAGCAGGGAGTAAAAGTAATGCGGCATCCACCAAGACTCCTACATCAGTCCTGTGAGACTATAAAGGTTGCCACACTATTTCACTGAAAACTATGAGTAACCCCTATTGCAATCATGTTAGGAAGGCGCCCAAATTACTTTATTTACTCTGTCGTTTGTGTTTAAATACAGTAAAGGATAGTGTAGGGTAATGAAATGTATAGTACAGTATGTATAAATTCATTAAAAGGTATTTCTCTCTCTCTCCATTGTCTACTTTATTAACTGTGCTGTTTATTTTATATATATTATTCCAATTAAAGGGTTTTAAAATGTTTTTTTCCTTTGTTATTTTCCTCTCCATTGATATAAAGGGGGAGGATGGACATTTCCTCTCTCACTGCCACACAGACTGCTAGATGCTATTACATTGGGTCTCTTGCTTTCTAACCCCTCTATGATCAGCACATACATCTGTTAACCATTCAATGACAATAAACCCTGGTGAGTCTGCAATTCTGCTCTCCAGTCCCTCCTTCACGTCTTGTAGACACAGCTAGGGCAACTAAGTGAGGATGGCTGCAATATAATGAATAGTAATTCTCCACCTGTGTTTATGCAACATTTAAGAAAGGGGTCGCTTATGACTTTTGTCAAATTTGGATTACATGAAGACTTATGAAGACTCAGGAGTGGGTGTAATTACATCAGTTGCCATTTTACAATTTAGCCTAAAAAAATATCTAGCTGAGCTACAATCCAAAAAATGAATTTAACGAATAAAAACAAAAACAACCACTTCTTCTGAGAGATCATAAACAATATGGAGTATGGTAAATTTTAAATTGCCATGTGGCAGACAAAAAGTAAAAATGGTCTGCATGTGCACACTGTGCAGAATCTTAAACATCTTTGGCCCAAAAGCCAGAAGCAGAGGGACAGCGTTTTAAATAAAACAGTATCTGGTTTACCTTCACAACTAGAAAGACACAAAATCACACAGGTGTACAGCATTTAATAATGGACTGTAAATGACAGTGATATAACTTAACACAAAATTCAGTGATTTGAGCAGTCCACCCAGACGATTTGCCTTTTTTAGCTTTGCTATCGGGTACGATTACTATCAGTCCCACTGTTGCCCACCCCAACCCCCCACAGGCGAGTCTGACCTGGTAGAAGTTCTGATAGCCCTCATCCGTCAGTGTAATAGAGATACTGAAGATGGAGTATGTGGTGTTCTGATCGAAGCCAGACTCACTGTTCCCCCCAAACAGAGCAAGAGCCCAACACCTACAGGAACAAACCACAAACTGTTCTCATCTGGTCAAGTCTACTGCACTGTTCGCAAAATAATTAGCACAAAATCAATTAAAAACATTCGTGCTTAATTTACTATCACAATTCCCCACATTCCTGGAATATTGCAAGTTAAAACAGGTGTAAAAATGAACTCCAAAACTGAGGCACTGGCCAGGTCTTCTGTTCAAACCTGTATTGCTCTTCTTCATTTGCTGCTATTCCTACTGCTTAGTTCAAAATGTATATTTAGATATCCATCCACCAGCCATACGGGAAAGGGTGTAGGATGCCTGCACCATCATCACTAGAATCGAATGATTCACATTAAAGTTTCATTAGAAAACGCAGTGGAGCACACATTTTGTTGGCATTTTGGAGCAGTTTTAAAAGCAATTTATGTTTTACCCCTTTATGTTCATTTCAGTGCAGGAAGGGAAGGGGTTTAACACCAGCTGATATTTTTCATACTAGGAAGTAAAAAGTTACTTGAATTCAGGTAATTGAAGTATGCAAGGAATCTCAACTACATAAGATGACGCCGAAGAACCTTTCACTTACTTTTTCCTGAGCAGGGACAGGATGCTGCCAGTACCTTCATGGCCAATCAGCCAGGAAATGTAATGCAGAGGCTTCACCCTAAAGGACAGACACAACAGCAAAACAGCTCAGGAGTGCTCTTCTTAACATGCTCAGCTTTCAGGGAAATTAAAATAGAAGGAATGATTCTGACTTTTAAAAACCAGACTCAATGATTTGACCACAAGATCATATTTCTCAATATTGTCAATTTACTCTTGTAAATACTTCAGCTTTACTCTAAAAGGAGTAAAAAAAACCTAAAGGTAAAACAGTATGACGCCTTTAAAATGGTCCTAGACCATCAATCATTAAACCTAACAGAAAATAAGAACAGTTGACAAATATCATGAAGTCATTTGACATATCTAGCCACCAACTAGTTCCTCTCAGGACTTCATCCAGCAGTTTCTTGAAAGAAGCCAGAGTATAGGCTTTAACAGCATGGCTGAGAATGTTGTTCCATTCTCTACAACACTAACCACATGCAGCATCAAGAAGCCTGTTTTTGGGGAAAAAGTAGTTCACCTTCACTTGCTTGAGACATTGGAAAAAATCATTGTAAACAACCAGCACTCAGCAAGACCTCTGACAAGGGCAGCACACGAGATGGGAGGTGGGGGCCATGGTAAACAATATCAGCCTGTTTCGATGTGTTGCAGCATCAGTGATGGCAGGGGTGGGGTTCAGAAACACACCTGTAGTGCTTCTCCTGCGGAGGCAGAGCCCAGGTGAGCGTGAGAGCGTGGACCTTCCTCACAGGCACCACTGCAAGACAGTCACACACAGTCTCAGGACAGGCACCATGACACAGGGCTTTCGCCCTCCACATTAAAAAGCTCACTAGCAAGTCCGATAAATCAGCACCCCTTCCATCAAACCACAGGTATAGTAATATTCCACCACCATTTGTTTGGAAATTGGCCAAATCTGAACTGGCCACTTCCACTTTTATCTTAATTTTAAGTGCACAGACAACATCAGGACAGATGGTTTTCATTATAAAAAAGGAAAAAATTAGCTCTTGCATGTCGACTTTCCATTCACTTCAACAAATACAAATTTGAGATCAATTGAATGCCGTTGAACCACACAACATGGTAGAGAACCACCAGCTGTGTGTTTTGCAAGACTGATACAGAAACATTGCTGAGGATGCCTGCCTCGTGTGTGGGCTAAGCGGCACAGACAAGACGCAAACTGAATCCTGGCGGATGGACAAACTGGGCTTGGCAGACTGGGCTGGACCTGGCCTATGGGCCACATATTTGACCACCTTACTTCAGTGGGACAGTGTGGACCCATTCAAACACAAAAGCTTCTCACCACACCCACCTCTGTAGAGTTTGTTGAAGGCAACAGTCTCAAACGGGTCTAGGAGGTGAGAGAAGTCTGGCTTAGGCAAGCCACTGAAACCAAAGCAAAAGCAACAATCAGTTACCACATGCAAAATAACAGACAACCAAGATACTGTGCCCAGCGAGATAGCAGATTCACTCCACCTCTCCCTGAGGCTGGACAGCACATGCCGCAGTGTACTCAAACACCCTCTCAAATGTGCAACTACTGCAGCAGAGACTCACTTGTTAGGAACACAGCTGAAGATCTCTCTCACCCAGGCCTCCAAAGTGTCCAGGGTCTCTGCAACACAGTAGAGAATAGAGTAATCCTTGCAACTGCTCAATATAAACGCAGAGTGACATATTTCATAGAATGGTTTGTTTGTAATGGAGGTGTTAAATGTCATTTAATATAATACTTCAACTTGTACATCAGGATCCTCTTGATTTAATATCTTTTATTCTTCCACTCTTTCAAATCCCTCAATATTGTACAACTGCAGACATGTAAATACTCTCTCAGTACAAGGTGGTACCATAGTACTGATCTGCATGAATAAAGACCTTAGTTATAATTACTTTTTTCCCAGAAATTTTTATTTTAAAATCATGACTACAAATTAAGTAGCACAACTGAAAAGAGTTAAACTGGATTGACTCATTTGCACATCTTTCAAAATTGCCCAATGTTTATTTTCAAGCACAACACACTGTGGAAACGGTATGCAAATAAGAGCACATTATTCTAATAAGTGACTGTTACACATAGGTCATCTCTGACAAACCTTGCATATGCATAGCTATTATTCATGGTAAGGAAAATTAGTCTCTTTCTAAACTGTTACACTCTTGCTAGGATCCCATTTGACCTTAGATGTGCCACAATCATTTCCAAGGTCAACTGCACCTGAGGCAACACTGAAAATGCAATCCAGCCATTTTTACCTCTTAACTACACGGCCCAGGTCAGATATATCTAAAATGTGTAACAGTGGCACAACAAAAAAAACTCAGCTAAGACTCAAAAGGGTGACCTGGCATCCATTCTTCAAACCTCTGGCACCCTCAAGACCCCCCCCAGCGGGGCGTCACCTTTAGACTGCACTGCCAGGGTCATGTAGTGGGCAGAGTAGTGTCGCTGCCAGAACTCCTTCAGTCGCGCGTAGGTGTCAATGTTCTTCTCTCGGGGCTCATGCTTCAGAGTCTGAGCATTCCCTTAAAACACAGAACAGAAAAAACAGATTTGCCACAGAAAGGAAAAAAAATCATTTCCACCACGGCAGCAAATATCAAATATAACAACTTCTAGCAGTTTTGTTGCTCAATTTCAAGTTCTTATAATAGCAGTATTTTGGGAATTCACTGTATATTTACCAAATATTTTCCTGTAAAAACCAAATAGCTTATCGGTAGGGTTACATAGTAATTTCCAAACTAAAAAATCATTATAAAGGCATTTTCCCCACCAGAAGCAGCTATCTTTATACACTCCTGGAGTTTGCTCCACGGTGAACTAAAAACCAAAATGAACTTTTCCAATTACTAATCCTGCAATGACAGGTTTTTTCCGATGAGGGGGTGGCATTTAATTGCACGTTGTCGGACACGTCAGACCCAAGATACCCTGGGTGCTCACTCCAGCGTGCTGAAGTGTGCTTCAGGAAAATGTTCGGGGACTCCATCAGTCATCTTCCTTACCCCAGCAGAATTTGCCCATTGGATGGTTTGGCTTGGCCAGGCTTCCGAAAAGCATTTCCTTCCGATGGGAGTCAGAGGGCCTGGCGAGCTGATACTCTAAAAATCAGGTTTCAAAAATACGCTTTCAACGCATTACAAATATTTAATAAAGATCTGTTACAATTACTTTGTAGTGGGACTCAAAACACCTTTTTCTGACCGTACCACAAAACCAAACTACTGGGAGTTAATACTATGGTTATGTTATACAGAACAGGCCTCAGGGAACAGTTAACACTTTCATTTTATTAAATTTGCAAAAATGATAGTATTCAGTTTCACACAAAAGACTTCCAAAGCCTTTTCCTTTCCGTTAAGGCACTAAATGCAACATTGCCTCATTCACTGCTGATCACAGGGACAGCAGACCTGGCCACATATGGTGTGCTTGAAAATGTTTTCAGAAGATGCTCACCACTGTCCACTGCCTCCACCTCTCTGTCGATGGCATCCTTGATCATCAATGGGCAGATGAAGAACTGAGCCCACCTGCCAGCAAGACACAGAGACAGAAGCGGTTCACTCAAACTGAGGCTCACATAAAAATCACTAATTTATGCACAGTGATACAGCAACTAATGGATTACGGCCTGTTAATTTATCTGGTGTTAGAAAAAATGTTTTAATAAACACTGTAAATTTTTCATTTTTCAATTTATTCTGTAACACATCGTTATAATTGAGAAGCAACAAACTCCATTAAAAGTAATAAGGGCTGTACTCATGCAAGTTAATTTTTGTTTTTGGAATACTGGAATTATCGATGTTACAAGAACTTGGTGAACTGTTTTTTTCAACAGTGCACCAGTACAAATTCTAGCCACCCCCGTCTTTGATCCCTTGACTTCACGCAGTCACACAGCAGGCAGCAGGCTGGTTTCTCAACCTGCCCAGCCCCCTGACGCACCTGTCCAGAGCCTCTCTGAAATGCTTCCTCTGCACGTCGAACTGGAAGATGGTTCTCTCGCAGTCGGTAGAAGCGTTGTCGCTGCCGCCATGCTTCTTTAGAAAGGCGTCGAACCCGTTCTCAGCTGGGTACTTCTCGCTACCCATGAACACCACTGTAAAATAAGACAGCACCACCGGTCGTGCAATCTGAGCTCACACAGGGATCACGGCCACTGTTTCATTGCAATGCATTACTGTTACTTTCCATCTTGTCCCCCACACTGTGTAAACTCACCTACTGAGTTAAATAAGGACACCATAACTGTAATGTATCACACCTCTATGCATCTCATTTGCTTGTTGTGTATTGAAAATGCACCACCTTTCGATCTTCATCCAATGAATTTTGACAGACTGCAGTTTGAATGTCTCCTGTCTAGGTGTAAAATACGCCAGCACACAACAGCACTTACTGTGTTCCAGAAAATGGGCCAGCCCAGGAAGATCATCTGGATCACTAAAACTTCCCACTCCAATACAGAGGGCAGCTGCAGACTGAACCAGAAGACAACATGAATAATCCTCACCAATACAATCGCCAGACACAAATACAAGGACCAGAGACATCACAGACCTTAAAAATCAGGATAACCAGTTAGGCTCCTATTGCATCGCAGTGTGATCACTTTCTGAAAATCACAAACTCCTGACCCAACAAGCAAGCCACTACTGTACATAGCTTTGGAACACTGGTCTGTCCTTGTGATCACAACTGCTGTATCTGCATAGCAGTATTACAGACGCCTGCTTTTCTACATGCAGTTTAATGATGTCACATGAAATTTTGTTAAATTTAGATCTTTGAAATTAAGAGCTTTGTGTAATGAGACACACATAACCCCCAAGTTTTCTTCCCAGTATGCGTGAGAGTCTACTCTTAGCCAGTACCCAGAGTAGATCTTTAAAATTTCTAGGTATAACTAATTCTCATAATGAAATGTACCATACCCTTGATCTTCAGAGTGAAACAAAAAGAAAAGATTCCCTTTCTAGTTTTCCAAGCTTCGAACTCTGAAATAAGCCAGTAACAGCCGCTGGATACTTTAGGCTTTTATCCATATTTAAAATATATTTCAATTTGTATTTACAAATCACAAATTTGCATTGTGTGGTGATCAGTTAACGTTAATAATATATATTTATGATTATGAGCAGGCAAAAGATGTTGCAGCAATATGGCAATAACACACTTTTTAGAGCTTGTACAAGTGTTACTTGTATATGAACCTGTTTTTCTGAGGTGCATTTTTTCTTTTTCACGTCACATTCCTCCACCAGCTCCTCGAAATCGCTGTCCTTCTCATCCTCATCGTGTTCTGACTCTTCCTCGGTTCCCTCCCCAGAGTCATCTTCCTCTTCCTCCTCCTCCTCCTCACCCTCACTCTCCTCTTCCTCCGAATCTTCGTCTTCTGATTGGGATGCCTTCCCATCCACACTGGTTAGATCTGAGATGAGGAGAGCTTTCAGCCCGTTGTCCAGCTGTATGTACCTAGAACAGAAAACAAAGCATCACAGGCCCGAGAAGAGATTTAAAAGCTTCATTGCTACCACAGGGCTAGCCAGGCAATGCTTAATAGGTCATTTGGGAGCTGTTTTCTGGCAGGGAGAGAGAATGACATTGATGGAAAAGGTTAACATTCAAACTGAGAAACTGTTGAATTAGCCAGCACTCTGTGGGAAGAAATAACTAAATGATTTCCTTGCCAAAAGAAAGGGACTGAATTATTCATGCGTATCTAATGAGTCAGGTTTGACTGACTGGTCCTGGAAATATGTAAAACTGATTTTTAATTTTATGTGGGTTTTATTGATTCCAGGTCATATGCAGAGTGCAGAGCAGCACTAACTATGTTTGCAATGCACAGCCTCTTTGTGCATGTTCTCCAACTGGAAACTCTTTAAGAGACCTACGCTTTCAAAAAAGCAAGACGCATTGATGGACAAGGGTATAACCACACATAAGTGGAAATCTTTGGGTCAGTTCCTGGGCAACTAAGATATGAAACCAAGAGATTTTTTGTAAAAAAAAAAAGAAGGATGTGTTTTTATCAGTACCATGCTGGCAGAGTTTTATCTTCATCATGATGATTAATAAATCCGAATGTGAAAACTGGTCAAAAGAATAAAAACACCAGCTCTCTCATAATGATTGCAAGTGGCATGCAAATGAGAAAATACAGAACAGCTTAGCTCCTGACAAAATACTATAAGGAGAATTCAGTTTTCCAAGTATCTGTTACCAGCCTGTACATAACAATAAGAAACTGAAACAATCTTTCTACTCCCCCTGACAGCAAACTGAATTTCCCCAGTACCCCGAGAAATATTTTTGACTCACAAAATTATATGTATTTAGACTGTTTAAAGCATTACAGTTTTAAAGTGTTTATGAAGTGAATAGGGAGCTGTTAAATACAGTGGACCTTTGAGAACAGTTTGTGTTTTTATTACACCATTAGAAATGAAGTTGAAATGAGAGCAATCAGTACTCAGAAGTATGTTACACTTGACACTCCTAAATGTGAGGAAGCTGGAAAGCTTAGGGAAAAAAAGCTATGCCAGTTTCATTCATGCAATGTAAACTCAGATGATCCACACATGCCTGGACATTTGAGACTATCCTTGTTGAATAGTGGTATAACATTACATACACATTAACAGCTGACTGCTCATACCCAGTTTTGAGTTACAGGACAACATCCTGTTCATATGCAATCTTGGTACTCTGCCTCATGTATTTGTGATTCTGGTTAATTTAGGCTTAATACATCTATAAAAAATGGCTTTTAACTATTTTCACATGTACTGTATACAGCTTCAGACGTAAATGTAGGTGTCCGCAGATTTAAAGAATTATTCCTTTATTCGCAGGACTATTCGTGGACAGTTAACAAAACGCCCTTAAAAGACATGCAATATTCAATATGAAGTACTGAAGAGTTTATCCAGTAGTTCATAGAGTTCATCTAGGTTTGCACCCATACACTACGGGAGCTGTGATTTTCTGAACTGTGGAATAGCTGTTAGTAACGGTTAAAATTAATCAGCTGAGCTGCTCAAACAATTCGTTGTGACTGCATGTCTGGTAAAATCACCAGAAAATAATGTCATCACTTTCGCGAGAATTGTTTTAAATACTTTGGATGGCACACCGCACCCCCGAAATGTAAGCGGACTTGAGGAATGGGTTAGGAAGTCTTGCACAAAAACAGTGACCGACTCCCCCACGACGTGTCGAGTACACGAGCAGCTCACCTGTACTGCTTGGGGTCACTCGGCGATTTGACGATGTCGGGGTCGCCCCTGTTGTCTTCGCCTCCACCGCCGTTATCCCCGGAGGCTCCCTGGTCTCTGGGCTCGGCCTCCTGCTGCTGCTTGGCGTCGTCAAGCACACCCGTGCTGGACGGCTGGGCAGAACCGCTCCCAGTGCTCTTGGACTTATTGGTCAGAGGCATGCTTATGACCCTCGACACTTCAGCAATGCTGGTCAGAACGGGACTGGGGAATACAATTTGACAACGGCTGATTAACTTCAACCCTTTATTACCAAATGCAGTAATACTACGAGTAGCCCTGAAAATCGCAATAGTGATGGCTAAACGACACCACTTCCAATGCGTGCAATTTTTTTGAAGAAAACTTTTTTTTAGTCAGGTTTAACTATTCCACGCATGCCCACCTGATCCAAAATTGTAAATACTTTCAAAAGCGTTAAACTTATCTAACCTAAATCGGCATTTAACAATATGAGAAAAGCACACTGGCCGACGGACACGGTTCCTTATATTTAAAATGCCAACGTTAAATTACGATATTTTATTTAAAAGATAAGTTACACATCGTTGGAAATATATCACAGGCCAGCTGTAGCTGGAACAAATCCTAACAAGCCCAGTGTCAGTTACAATGCAGTTGTTTTTTCTGACCTAGAGGTCAGGTGGCAGAAAACGTCTTACAGCTAGCCACAGATCAGCTATATTATTTAAAAAAAATGAAAACGTCTGCAAAGTTCTTGATAGATTATCCCTCACGTAAAGACATTGTCATACCCCCCGGTCACTCAACCAAACTGCGCTGCTGTTCAGCAATCGCTGAAGTAATTGGCGGATGCAGAAGTGACTAGCCAATATGCTGTAATGTGATTGCTTACCCTAAACTGACGGGAGTTGTCAATTCAATAAAGGTTGGTAGACCGGTGAGAGAGCAACACGTGCAATTAAAGCCGAATTACTTTAATGTTGCTGCGCAAAATGAATGTTTCAAGAAGTGCGTGGGTGCACAATGAAGGACTGATAGATACAGTATTTACCATCGGCAGCATGGATTCCAGCACAGCGCCACTGTAAAGACCAACCAAAACTAGAAATTAATTTAAAAAGGCGATAGCGGCGCGATCAAGTTGTCGTTCAATCTTTTTCGAATTGATCGGTTTAAAGTTTGCGGTAAAGTATGGATTGCCAAATAATAATAATACGGTTTTCCCTAATGCTTCCACGGAGGCTAACATCATCCGTATTGTGATGACACAGAGCTCGTTTGCCAAGAGCTTTGTCTGAGTGTGTCTGCGTGCACACTGTAATAATTTAGTACTGAACTACAAAGAGCCAGAATGCGTGTGCACTCCAGCGCGTTTCATTTGATCGATCATATAGAGGCGCACAGAGTCTGAAGGAGCTACTGTAACTTATTACAGTTCAGTACGTATTAGGATGACCTATAAACTGTACCATTATATTGGACATGCAATATAACAATAGATACAATGCTGGAACAGATTTTCATTTTCACATTGCAAACATAGATTAATATTATGCGCCATATGACAGTAGTAATCAGAGGAAACCCGATGCCCGTGTTTCCTCATCAAGAAGCAGCCTAGTATTTCCCCTTTAACATGCAGCTATTTCTAACCAGTTCAGGGTCACAGGGGAGTTGGATCCTATCACACACACAACCCAGGGGTACTTTTCCCAGAAGCTGGTTAACCTGTGTCTGTGGGTGCTCCTAAACAATGTTTTGGGACTGTTGGAGGAAACTAGAGCACTTGGAGGAATCCCATGTGAACATGGGGAGAACATACAAACTCCACACAGATCCCCCAGGTCCAGAATTGAAACTGGAAATGGGAAAATAAAAGAGCCTGTATTGTAATTTATTTATTAACGCCAAAAGCCTCTGGTGGGCCTGGGTCCATTTCTGTGGCTGAAGAACTGCAATGATTTAACAGATCTGTAGTAGGAGGGCTGCAGAAACTAATGAGATCCAGCCGGAAGTGCCGAAGGCACTGGATATTGTTGGGGTGCCGTGAGTCTTCAATGTTCTGGATTGGCAGACTGGGGTGGTGATCCCCATTTTTAAAAGGGGGACCAGACGGTGTGTTCCATCTACAGAGGGATCACACTCCTCGGACTCTCCGTGAAAGGCTGTGACAAAAAGGAAATTCCACCTAATATATCTGAGCCTTGGGCATAGGAGGAACACTGCGGATTCTGTCCTGGACGAGCTCTGCCCTTGCACAGATATTGAGGGGGCAGGGGAGTTTGCCACCCCTGTGTACATGTTTTGTGGAGAAGGCTTACGACCGTGTACCCCGGGGTATTTTGTGGGAGTTGCTGTGGGAATATGGGGTGCCAGGACTGCTGCTGCTTGCCATCCAATCTCTGTAATTGAGGAACGAGAGTTGTGTCCACGTTCTCGGTGTGAAGGTGAGCCCGTTCAAGGTGGGTGTCGGACTCTGTCAAGGGTGCGTCTTGTCTCCTCTCCTGTTCCTGATCTTCACGGACCGGATATCAAAGCGCAGCCAAGGATTGGTGTGTATCCAGTTTGGGGATCTGGATCCAGAAGAGACAGTTGAGGTGACTCGGGCATCTGGTGAGGATGCTCCCCGGGAGCCTCCTGCTGGAGGTGTATCACACACAATCCACTGGGATTATCTCTCCGAGCTGGCCTCGGAGCACCTGGGAATCCCCCGGGAGGAGCTGCAGACTGTTGTTGAGAAAGGCAAGTCTGGTCTACTAGGTTCAGCTTGTTACTTGTTACCTGCCACCCTCAGCAAGAGTAAGTGGTTAGAAAATAATGATGATGATGAGATACGTGTCACATGGGTTTCAAATGCAGGAAAACAGGGTTGTAGGGAACAATCATATAAATATTGAGGTTATTCAATTTAAATCATACCGGATGTGTAGAATCAATTTGAAGATTTGTAAGAGTGTATTTAGAGCTTGGATCTTAGAAAAATAATTTGAAAATCCTGAAAGAGCTTGAAAACTTCAAGTCCTGGAAAAAATCAGTTTCAGGACCAACAGTGAAACCAGAATGCAAGGGAAAATGAAGGGCGGAAGTTGGCTGGGACAAGAAACGATGTTTCCCTTGGGATTCTTTGAGAAACGGGTGGAAGAGGTCCTCAGATGAGTTCTGAGCAGCCACATTAGCAAGACAGGACAAATGAGCTCTCCTTATTTGCACTGTGTCTTATGTTATGATAACTTGAAACTGAATCTAAAATCAAAATGGTCATGCTGAACTGAACAGGACAAAGGTGCTTACAGGTTGTGGACAAAAATGGCAACACCAGTGTCAAGTCCACTAATGGGGCCTATCAACAGCCTGTACGGCATGTAAGCACCATGGCACAGAATCTGGCACCATCTGGAATTCTGCAGGAGGGATGTGGGACACTTCTTCCTTGAGAAAGTACTATACATCAGCTCACACCAGGTTGATTAGGGGGAACACCATGTCATTCCAGAAAAACCTATCAGTGCTCCAGTGAAAAGTGGAGAATCGCCTAATATAAACAGATATGTAACATGCCGAATAAAAGACTGAATTAAAACAGTGAACAGATGTTTTCACATAACTCGCACTAATTAGTAGGACATAATTATCCAGCGGATGACAGCTTGAGTTGAAGAATGGAGAAGCTTTGCAGCTCTGTACAATTAGCTCTTAATGATTTAACTGCCCCCCTGCCAGATTCTGATGCATTTTTCCTGCTCGCTGAGAAGCCTGTGATCACTTCCATCAAGGATCATCCTCAGCTGTTTAGAATTATCACTACGAATTGAAGTCTGTCTTCCCGATTTTAATCTCTTTACTCTACAAACAGTTCATACAGTCTAAAAACTGAACATTTACAGCCACCACAGATATAAAGTCTTGAGTCTATTTCCACACTTCAAAGTATCCATCCATTTTCTAACCATTCCTTCCAATTCAGGATTGTGGGAGAGCCAGAGCCTGTCCCAGCAAGCAATGGGCACACGGCCTGGTACATCCTGGATGGGATGCGTCCATCATGGGGCACATACACTCAGATGTGCACACACTTGCACAAGGGCCAATTTTCCCCAGAAGCCAATTAAGCTACCAGTTTGTTTTTGTACTGTGGGAGGAAACTCAAGTGAACATGGAGAGAACATACAATTTCCACACAGATGGTACCCCAGGAATTGAACCCAGGGCTCCAGTGCTGCGAGGCAGCAATACTAACCATTCTGCCATTGTGCTGCCCACCTCAATTCATATATAGGACAATTACATTAGGCACAAATAGAGTCAGTTTAAAGTTTTAGTTTGAGCAAAATACTGAAGTACTGTACTGTATGTCCACAGTAAACTTCAACTATAGTCAAATACTGCAAATACCCTATACTGTAGCAATGATGACCTTCCCTTGTCCTGGAGAGCCCTAATCCTTCATTTCCAGGCTGAAGGTCATGTTAATCTTGGCCAATGAAATCAATGGTTTCAGTTAATCAGCTAAGAGACAGGTTGTAAAGAAGTCCAAAGACACTGTAGACCTCTAGGACCAGCAACAAGTAAGATGCACTGCAGCATCAATAAGACATGCCAATGAACAATTCAGACACGTTGCGTTAAAAGCCGATTGCTTTTTATTGTAACAAAAATGCAGGAAAAGAAGCAAACCTACCTACCTGTGATTGTATAGTAATTCATAATAGCTATACATACAGTATGATTGTATAACACTTTTGTGCTTTTTTTAGCTGTCGTCTCTGTGCTTTGGCATACCTAATCTTACTGAACCCATCACAATTTATTTCACTCTGTAATTAAATTAAAAATGTCAAATTTTACTTCATCATTTACATAAACTATTTCTATTTATTAGTCCACTACAACAAGACATCAAATCTGTACGCTGTAAGGTTTGATTTCTAGGTATCCATGAAACTCTAATGTGTCTACTTAACAATTAATTTTAATAGAGTAATATTTTTTAAATTAAAATATTTTTTGCAATGTGTGACAGTTTAAATTAAGGATAGTTTCTCATTTTATGCGATAGAGAAGATACACTTTGTTCTTAGTTAAAAGTAAGCAATGGTTGTTTTACAAATGCATTTTGATAGCCACTTTTGTATATATTGTAGTCACTGGTACAGATGCCTCCTAAAGAATTATTTTGACATGAACTGAAAATAACACTTAAATTACTTACAAAATTTTAAAACAACTTGATTTTTTCCTGATGTCCCAGGTTTAAAGTGGGCATTTAGAGAAAGCTACAGAAATTTCCGTACTATATACTTCATACATTATATAACACATGTACACATTTTATATATATAACAAATATGTGCTTCCCCATTACGTATATGGGTTCATATATATATATATATGTTTTTACGTGTAAAACAGGACTCATACAGTACATGACAACATACTGACTGATCATCTAATAATATACCTTTACTCATTATATCTGATTTGGTTCTTGAAAAGATAATTGCACTGCTTGTCCACATGTTGACATGCTTGACTGATGTCCCCATGTGATGTGAACAGTCTAAAATTCAAAGGACTTCTTGACCAGTAATACAGGCCTATAAATATTTTGGCCTAGATATGGCTGTTCAGATCCTTGGCCATAAAGCTAGGACTATAGCTGAAGTATTAAAACCATTATGGTGCTTTCTTCGCAAGCTAGAGTTTCACAGCTTTCACATGACCTGAAGTGGGAATGCATCCATGTGTTGTAGCAAATAAGATCCCAGTGGTGCATAAAAAATACTCAGATTCTGCACAGGCAGAAGTTTAAAAGGAATGAGATCCTTTAAAAATTTCTTCAGCAGAGTGGGTGACTTTGAATGGATTTCTGAAGGGATATTGTAGTATGTTTCAAATCCAGTGGATACGTCACCACACCACATCAAAACACTATATAGGTTCCCCTCTTATAGTGCATCTCGCTTGTGCTACACGGTCCCTGCTTTAAGTGGGACTATATTCCTTGCTGAACTCCCCATTGGAGGGAAAGACTGTGGCACTACTGCGTTGTGTGGTCATTTGAGAGAATTATAACTGCTATGAAGACGTCTTCATTTTTATACTCTTCTGTTCAAATGTAAGTAACTGAAGAGGGACAAAGGAAGGTCAGTTGTGCAATATTTCACACCAGAGCAAGTGCAACTATCTCTTCAATCCTAAGCATTACATGACTGTTTTTTTTTGTCTTTAAACTGGACAAGCTGTTCCCAAAGAGGCAGTGTGCTTGGTTGTCCTCTGGGCCAGGGAGGTGGTGACCTGGGCAGGGGAGCTGAGAGCCAGAGGTTAGCAGGCACAGTTCTGGGGCAGCTGGGGAGGGTTGTCGGTCAGCCTGGTGTTCTTGGCTCCAGTGACCATCGCAGGGTCGGTGTCCACGCTCTCGGACATCTTCACACAGATGATGTCCACCAGGCGCTCAAACACCTGTCTGACATTGATGTTCTCCTTGGCACTGGCTTCAAAGTACTCAAAGCCTACATTAAAAAAAACAAGCAAAACAGAGGATTTTTGCTTTTCTTTTGCAAAATGCTGTTGGAAAAAACACAAATTGGTTTAATAACGCAATAGAGGGATATCAGAAAAACTGAAGCTGTATACTGTATGTAGCTGTATTTGAATGTAGTCTAAAGTTGTCAGTATAACACCTTCATAAATGCCACCTACCCACTGGGAAATAACATTCAGAAAAATTGACAATTTATCCTAAAGATGCAACAGGCACTCAACTTTTTATGACCCCAATCAAACTATAATTAGCTCTGATTATTTCAAAAGCTGGAACTGTTTTGTTGTTTTGAACAACAGTCAAAAACGTCAGGAACATTGCTTACTACTACATTACAATGTGAGTATATGTTTACCATATTTTCATTGTCCCGTCAATCAGATGGAGCTCAGCAGACACGCTTATACTGGACAACAATGTTACAGACTGGTCTGATGCCCTCACAGCCACCCCATCCACTGAACAATGAAGAAGCCGGAAAACCGTGACAAGTTGCCAAAAACTGGACAAAGCCAGTCAGTTTCCTGTTTAAGTTTAAGGAGTTTCCATCCTATTTATTTCTCTGCTTCTCCTAACTCTTGTACTAGGAGGGTCTGACAGCTCCCACAGGAGTTTATCCAGCTGTCTCATAGACCTACCCAGCTGGTCAGCCAGCTGCTTGCCCTTGTCTGCTGGCACCACTCGCTCATCATCCATGTCGCACTTGTTGCCCACCAGGATGACCTGGGCATTGTCCCATGAGTAGGTCTTGATCTGGGTTGCCCTAAGAAACACAGAAGAAACATACAATACATAGTAATGATGTTCAGTGGTTATGGAGGAGTACATCATTACTCTATACAGAAACTGCTAGGTCGCAAAGCACTATGGGATATCCCAAAATTTGGAAACTAAGCTTTGTTTCTCCCCTGTGAATTAAACTGACTCCAGATGTATTGTGGAATACCGAACAGAACATTCCACTCAGCAGCTAAGGAAGCCTGTGACAGTTCCTGTTAAACCTTCAAAAGAACGCCAGTCCAGCCAGTTGTGTATCTCATCAGATCTCAGAAACTAAGAAAGGCTGAGCCTGGTCAGGACTAGACGGGAGACCTCGAAGAAAAACAAGAATGCTGCTATACAGTAGGTTGGATAGATTGCCCAGTAAGTGGTGCTCTTTGTTTCTGGACAAGGACTTCCAAAAGCAATATCACAATGTTTTGTAACAGGGGACACTACACATACATGTGAGGCATTAAATAAAGTCATTGTACCATGGTACACTCCTAAAATCACTAGTTTTAGCCAGTGTCCTAGCTAAATTCTACTTTGGTGTACTGAATTAAATCCCCCTGAATTAAGTTAGTGGAGCAATTTTCTCACTTCATTTTTTCTATTTCAACAGTGGATGAAAGGGCTCGCTTTCTATATGTAATAGGGTGAAAAGTGTTATATAGTATAATCCAATTAATTAATTAGAACTGAAATGTTATGCAGAGACAGTCCTAAAGAGTGAGAATTGTGCTTCAAATATAAAAGTGTTTAAAAAACGAGGATTGCCTGATATTTTAGTGAAAATGAACGCAACACTTGCTTTGTAGCCTGAAGTTTTTCGTTGAGCTTTTTTGGAGCAGCCCGATAATTATCTGAAATACTGCCTTGGACACTTGTGTTATACCTACCAGTCCTGCACGGCATTAAAGGACTCCTCATTGCAGATGTCATACATGAGGATAAAGCCCATAGCACCCCGGTAATAGGCTGTTGTTATGGTCCGGTACCGTTCCTGCCCTGCAGTGTCCTGAGGAAATCAAAAGGTGAGCATGAGTTAAAGACAGTAAAATTCCTTTGCCCCCGCCATGGAAGTATTGTACTGTAAATAAGACAGGAGTACGGGTTAAATCGTACAAGCTACAGAAAAACTGAAGCCCCACAGCTCGATCCTTGGCCTGGGGTTTTTGTAGCAATCCACACAAGGCTTGATGGGATCTCTTCTCTCCACTAAAAGGTTGTGAACCACTTTTAGTAACCAATCAGGTTACTAAAGTGAGAAAATATTATTTTAAAAGCAAAGCTTATGATGCACCCGCAAATCCCAGTGATTTGTTGTCACCTGAAGGAAACTAATTGCACATGACAGGGCTGGCTGCTGCAATCACCTCTTAACCTCAGTCACACTGGAGCAGGCAGTTATAATCTCTTCCAATATCTCCTTCCTGACTTACTAAACACAGCAACACACCCCTTTTCTCTCAAGTGCTGCAGAAATGCTTTGCAAGGAGAGATTATCAGCCTACTGCTCCCTTTATCTTCATAATTCAGTTTTTTGGGGGAATCAAAGTGCGTCTTTGCCACAGTACAAAATAAGTTAGTAGGGTTACACCATAGCACTGGACTATCCAGCATACTGTATATAGTTCAATAAAATTACAAGAACAAATAATATGTTTCAGTGTTGATCCTGAAGAATGGTATAGAGGACTCTCTATGAAAAGTAACAACAAGTGGATTTAGGATCAAGAACAGAAGGTATAGCTTTATTCAAGGGGTTTCAGGAGCCTGAAACATATTGCCAGACAGGTAGCAGAATCAAGATTATAACCTGGGATCCTTCAAGAACACAGCTAAACAATATCAGATCAATTAACTACAAGAAACCAAATGAGCAAGTTGGATCTTAGAACCATCTCGTTTGCAACATTTTTATGTTCTAATCATCATCCTCATCACCATTCATATATTTGGATCCTGACATTTGTATTTAATCATATAAATTATGATGCACTTAAACCTTTGATAACCAACTTTATTAAGGAAAACTAGTTTTAACTTGAATTAATGGTTTCCTATCAGTTAGGGAAAATTTAAACTACATAAGAACAATTCCAACAGCACTGGAAACCATCTCTAGTCTATTTAGTAAGAAGACTCGATCAACTGGATCAACAGCAGCACTGAATAAAGTCCAACAGAACACAAATATACAGAGAGAGAATCAACACTAATAGATAAATCACTAGCAAACCTAATGAGCGTTTTCTATACTAGCCACATATCTGAAACCATACAGAAATAGTTTCTGTAGCTTCTTTGCAGACTGCTGATGATTTTCTAAGCAAAGGCACACTGCATGTTCCTGAACCTTTGCTGAAAATGGTACATTTAGACATGGGCCAATTATTACTGAGCAGGCTGGACACAAAAGTCTGCTTTTTAAACAAAGGAGTAATATAAGCTAATTAAAAAACAAAAAGAATTGTTTCAAAACTTAATGAATTTTTTTAAGACCCACTACAAGGGATACCATTTTACATGCGACACGTTAAATGTCATCACTGTTCAACGGCACATTCAAGCTACAGAAGGCAGATGACATCATTTAAAAGCAATAAAGTAGCAGAATCCTTAGCCAGTGAAAATGTGGTGTGCTTCCTCTGAGCAGCCACTTCAGATATCTCTATCATGCTTTTGCTGTTAACACAAAACACAGTAACAATCATGTAATGCAGTTTAGGATGGATTTTCCCACAGTACTCCAGAATATAAAGATCCAGTGCAACAGAGACTCTGGTTCTCGGCATCACAGGTTAATGTTCCTCCTTCCAACACAGACACAATACACAATGAATTACAACCAGGCTCCAGTAATACACAGCCAATGAGCACTGATCTTTCCGATACTTATAGGGGTGTCAGATGTGAGAACAGCTTGGTCTTTCAGGCTTACTCTACATCATGAAGCAGTGTTTCACACCTGATCCTTGGGAAACATCAGTCAGTGCTTTCTGTCCTAGCCACTCCCTTTGCTTATTTTCCACACTGAACCTTGGGTCCCCATTTCATTGCTGAGTACCACCAAAACTGGAATACCTGGGTCAAGCCTTGTCTTGACATTCTCTTTGCAAAACTGATCAAGTGGAACAGGGGCTTATTGCCGAGATGCCAGCCTTGTGAGTATAAAGGCTCAATGTCTTCAACCACCCAAATCCTGGTGATATCCAGCAACACCCACCCTGAATGGATTCCTGCAACCTTACTTCAGATTTAATAAGATAAGTCAACAAAGATATTAGTGAGTAATTAATGAGTAATTGTGTATCTGGTGTATACAGGTACATAGTAAATGATTAACATACTGTATAAAGGTATGCTTCAGTTTTAACAATCCCTTTCTATCATCATTTTCCTCATCATATCTGAGGAAATAAAGTCAGGTAGTCTGAAAGAAGGACATTAGCATGCTAGCCTGTAACAGGACTTTGTTTTGGATTGTGCTCATGTGTTAAGATATTGCTTTGCTCAAAGAGGGCTTGGAAGCACAACTCCCTGGTAACTAGTTCAGAACCCCAAAACACAATACTCCGCTACCCTGTGCAACATCACGTGGCCTAGGAATATAAATAGAAGCACGAAGAGTGTCAGTATGTTTTTAACAGTTGTTAAAGTCCTTTAATTGAGGTTTCAGCTCACTAACAAAAAAAGCTTTTCTTTAAATTCGTAATAGTCAGTAATAAGCAAGATGTAGCACTTAAACCTACATTAAATCCGTATTGTCAGCCCTCCCAAGCAAAAGGCCAATCCAGATGTGTCTCTGTAGCAACATCTTGTGTTTCCCAATGGTTTAAGAATTCTTGTTTGATCAGGCCAATGTCAGCTAGTGCCCTAATGACGTTTTCTAGTCATTTTCTGTATTTTCACTGGGAGCAGCTCTCGTGTTTATAGCCAGGATCTATTGTACATATTGGCTGATGAAAGTTGGTCACGTTTTTTTAACATGACTATTTTTAGCCCTGATTTTTTCCTGCTCCAATCCAAAATGATCATGCTGCTTATTATTTACTGCACTTCACTCCAAGAGTGTGGATAATCATCGGCCCTTACTTCTTTATTCACAAAAAAAGATTCCTCCCCTAACAACAGTAGGCCTGCTTTCACTCCCTGAGGAAACACACTGGGATCGGCAGAAGGTGTTGCTGTCATGGCAACCACCTCCCTGCAAGTGCGTTAACAGCTCTAGGCCCCAACCATGAGGATTACTGACTTGAAAACATGAAACACAGGGCTTCAGTATTTCCTGCAATAATCACAGACAGATCAGCTGACTGTGCACTAGCATCACTATTTCACTCTGAGTTTAGCAAATGTCTGTATCAATATAGATTGTTTAATGTTTTCACACAGAGCTATACCGTATTTATGAGAGCGACAAATTGCACTCCTTTCCATTTTTCTACTTATTCAGAATAAAATACTTAACCATTCATGTAGTTTAGCTCTACACTCACTTTTCTTGTCACTCTGTGTTGAAACAGTGAGCAGCATTTATAGGGAAAGATTAAAAACACTGCTAACAAATATAACTGACAGGAGGCAAAGGATTTACACTGGTGTAAGCAGGGCTGGCCCTAGCTTTTTGGGGGCCTTAGGCAACATTTTGGAAAAGGGCCCCTCCATATTCACTGCTAATAATATTAAGAACAATTAAATAAATGAATTATATAACTATAAAATATATTAACCAGCTTTGAAGAATACATAATAAGTTACAAACAAGAACAGGAAGCACAGATTTTACAAGGATAACTTGTATTTTAACTCTGAAAGTCATAAATAGGAATATTAATAACAATACATAAGAAGACCTCCGTTACTTCAAAATTATAGCAAATCATAACTTACAAATTACTGCATTGAAACCTTTGTAGAAAGGAATTGTAAAAATAAATATGTAATTAAGTAAGAAATAAGCTCAATTACAAGGGTGAGATCAATTAGGCTGAAGTGATGGGAAGCTTTTAGAAAAAAACGTTCAGGATTTTGGGAGGCAAAATCATCAATGACATCTTCACACGCCAGGTGCTGACCTACTGCGTGACTGATGCTCATGATGGCTGGTTGAGACGGTGCTCATGATGGCTGAGACGGTCATGTGCCACAGCTGACCTCAGGTGAGAGACTGCAACCTGAAGGTTGGGTTTACAAAACCACCTTTTAATGAAACACAGGAGAAACTGCAAGGAAAATCAATGCGTTTTAAAGCTGATTATGTATAACTGCTGAACAGTCATTTGTAGTGCACATTTTCTTTCATGCTTTTTTTGGCTGAGCAGCGCTGATTTTTAGCTGGGTGACCCAAGCGCCATGTGTACAGACGTGCTAACGTCTAGTAAAACACCTCCAGCAGGCTGTGTCTAGCCTGAAAACGTGGCTTATCTACCAGTTACATGGATCGGAATGACTCACAAGCCAATGAAATACAAATGTGTTATTACAATGACTTGATTTGGCACACCTCTGTTACAAGATTGCCTATCCGGTTCTTCGTTTTTGCGCTTCAGAAGCATTACGTTCTTGATCATGATTGGTCAGTTTTTGATCGGGGTGGGGCCCAAGGGAGTCACCTAGTTTGCCTTTGCCAGGAGCCGGCCCTGGGTGTAAGCAGCAATAAAGGGTCCCTCACTAACATAGCAACTACTGGAGCAAGCTCTTTACCCACCTGCTGAAATGGGCTGTAGCAACACTCCAGCAATAGGATTTGGTTATTGAACTCCTTTGGAAAATATGGAATAATGAAATGATCACCTTAAGCACAAAGCTAAAGGCACGTAAATCCTTATCTCTGTCAAGGCTCTTAAAGGGCAGACAAAGGAACTTAAATGGTCTTTTTGATGGTATCTTACCAATTGTACTCAAGTTAACAAGAGATATTATTCTGAAGACATTGAAGGAGAGATTAGAGAATGGGTAATGTAGTTGCCAACTGGAAATGTTGAGCGATTCTGACTTAGAGGCATTCAGTCAAAATCCCACAGATGGCAGCTTCACACTATTGGCTCCTCAGCCAAGCACAGACACCAAATGTCTGAACCTGCAGTTCCTCTTGAACGGAGCAGGACTACAATCACAACAACACCTCCTCGGTACAGTAAAATTAACCTGGCTCACGATGGTCTCACATAAAAAGGGTGAGAAAACTGGACCAAGCAATTCCAAACCAATAAGTCTGACTTCTAGTATACAGTATGTAAGGTAACGGAAACAACTATTAGAATTAAATCATAGGATCACCTGTACGGGACGAATCCACCATTTACCCATTTTCTATCTGTTTCATCCAATTCAGGGTTGCGTGGGAGCCAGATCCTATCCTGGCACGTACCGGGCAGTGGGATACACCCTGAAGAGGATGCTAGTCCACCACAGGGCACACACAGACACAAACACGGATACATACACACTAACACCTGGGCCATTTTTCCCAGAAGGCAATTAACCTACCAGTATGTCTTTGGACTATTGGCTTCTACAACATGACTGGGTAGTTTATTTCCCCACACTTCCACAACCCTTTAGTAAAAAATGCTTTTTGTATTTTAAAAGCTCCTCCATGTACTGTACAGTAGTTTCCCCTTGTGTCGTCTGATTTGTATTTCACTGTTCAGATCATTGTTTCATTAAAACTGTGATAAACGCTACAGAGACCAGAAGAAATATAAAACCCCTCACGCACGAGGGGTCTCGAGAATTTAGCTTCACTTGTAGGCAAGCTCCTTCCTTTCATAAAAGAGCACAGCTGGCAACGGAAGATGTCCAATCCAGTTACGGTAATTACAGTAGATCGGTTGGAGAAGGGTGTAAGTGTGAGAGAGCAATAGAAACTTATGAAGGTTACATGATAGTGAAACCATGATAGTTTACCAGTGGTTCCTGTTTCCGGGGTATCAATACATCACAAGTCTGATATATATTAAACAAATGGAAAAGAGGAATGACTAGGAGTAATGACCAAACCAGGGAGGAAGGGGTTAAAACATCAGGCTTGGTCCAACATTAGCTGACTGACCACTCTCCCAGTTCTAGTGAAAATTTGGTTTTATGCACATAGGTCCTCCAGGATTTTGCTATTCAATGAGAGGATCTGCTTCAGTATATTTAAACTGAAGGTAAAAAAAAACATTTTCATAGAGGCTAATGTGTGATTGTTCCACCTTCTATTATTTCTATCCGTTTTTGTAACTGCCTTGCATTTTATTTGGAGTTGTGCGTTTTCCACGTATTGTAAAGCTCTTTGAAGCGATAGATTTTACACATCCATTGTAAAATCACTTTATTGTGAAGAGTGCTATAACAGGTGGACTCACCCAGATCTGCAGCTTGACCCTCTTGTCATTGCGGTACACAGTCTTGACCTTGAAGTCGATGCCCACGGTGCTGACGAAAGAATTGCTGAAAGAGTCGTCGGCGTAGCGGAACAGGAAGCTGGTCTTGCCCACGCTGCTGTTGCCGATGATCAGCAGTTTGAACATGTAGTCAAAATTCTGGTCCGAAGAGTCTTTATGTCCGAAACGGGAGTCCACCTTGGCCATCTGAGTGAAAGGAAGTCAGAGCGACTCTTAGCAGTGGCTGTTATTGTCATGATCATGCATAATGATTCAGGGCTTGTGGAAGACACATTTATTCACAGGGAACACCATGATATCAAACCTCTGATACTGGAGTCTTTTACAGTCACTTAGAATAAACAGTGTAATACACTTAGGACCACATACAGTGACAGAGTTGGGTCTTGGGCAGCAGCTTTGCGATGATTGCTTTAACCACTAAACAGCCTTGTTTCCCAGCTGATGCAATCATAGTATCGTAATATTAAGTGTAAATTACAATGGATTTATATCTGAATAGATTGTAAAGACCCATAATGCTTTTATTGTGTGTAAAAATGTGGCTTCAGAGCTCTTCTATTACTATTTCCACAGTACTCAGAAATGGGTATAGAAATCAGCAGATATCATTGTGACATCCACATTCTGTCCCAATTCTAACCACACAGTGGATGCACTGTCCTAAAACTAAGCTCTTTAAGGCAAAGTTTAATTCTGGTAAATTTGTTCTTGCAACATATCAAGTCTATATTTGTTAAAGTAGTAAAGATATATAAGGGCTCATTCAAAGCCTTATTTTAACCATTCTTAATGAGTTTACTAATTTAAGTAGAATTCACCTGGTAGAAGAGGTATTTGTACATCTGTTTGCTAAACACATAGACTACTCAGAGCAGAACTGCGGGCACATGTTGTTTGTATGCCTTTTGTGACAGAGCTGCACATCATGAAGTGGGTAACTAAACTGTATGTAAAGAACTGATTACATGTCAAAGAATCATGACACTAGGAGATTTATAGGCCATCCGCTGCCAAGCAAGCAATAATCTTCCAACATTTATGGTCACACACCAGTCCATCAGCTTGGAACAATAGTACATAAACAAAAATACTGTGCAATCAGGCATTGAGCCATCTTTTACTTCAAGGACAATGTTGCAAAGAACAACATGGCTCTGTGGAAACCACTGTTTCTGAGTTTTTTTTAAGTAAAGCCGGTTATTTTATTACTTACTTATGCTTTTTCCTTAATTTGCATGACATCGTGAGAAAAATTGAACACACAAATATTTGATGAGTTTGGCCTGTAGGAAGGGCTGTTTCACTGTCTGTTTTTTTCAAAAATTGCTCCACAAAACTTTGCTTTTTGTATGTCCAGTGCAGAGATCTGCTTGAAATAGCATGCTGAATCATAGAGAAGACAAAAATACAATGTGCTTTGGGTTTTTCTCAGTTACTGTCACTGCTCAGTGTTATTATTTTCCAGCTCAAGCAGAACAATGATCAGCTGAACTCCTGTTAAGTTACCATTCGTAAAAACAATAATCTTTTCACAACACCATTAGTGTAAATTAATAGCACTTGTAATGAGGTGGCTTTCAAAAGCTTTCCCTCTGGAGAATTATTTGGTCCCATTTCAAAACTTAACTAAAAGTTCAAGGGCAGGGATCTCTCAAGAAACAGAACATTGATGCACATGATTTCACATTGGGTTTTTTTTTCCACTTTTGGAAAAGTTTTGGACATATTCTGGCACTTACTTGCTGTTAAAAACTGAGGATTATTTTTTTGCGTGGCAAAAAAGCTTTGCAATTGACTCTATAAGCATGGATTTTAACAGAAGCCATCTCTTCCCCAGAAGAAATTATCCTGTTGCCTTGTTGGTGTGTTATGCATTAGCAGCTTGTCATCAGAGGTCTGAATAACCCAGTGAAACAACACTGATCACAGTCACCTCCAAAAAAGGACAGTGAATTTCAAAAGTAGACTTTGCTACGAAATTACAATTTAAGCCAGACCTTCTCCTATGAATGCAACCCACTAATTCTGCATTTAATGATGCAAATTCCTGCTTTATGCCAAATACAAATTTAACAAAGTGCTCCTGTGAATAGGTGTTTGTTATCACTATTAGGGATCTCCTACATATAAGGGTCTGTCATCTCTATTGTGATAGGACTATTCAGGTATTTCAGAAAGGATGTGCACAGGACTCCAAAATCCACATAATGAAAAGATACTCGGATGTATTTCTAAACATACTGTATGCATATTACAAACCTAGTGAGGGTATAATGAAACTGAGCAACTGGACACGGATGGAGAAAGGCTTGAGATTTTACTATGCCAGTGAAAATTAACAGAATTTACTTGACCAAAATTTGTCAATGTGTAAGGAGGAATGGAACTGAATTCTTCAAGGTATTAAGTGCAATAAACATCTAAAATAATTATTAATTTGACAAACATGAGTAACTTCAAATGTAACACACCCAGGGAGGGAGGCCTGTCTTCTGACATCAAACTGAAGCAGATATCTCATAAATGCAGTAGCTAGTATTACAGAATAATTTGCAAGCTTGTTACAGTGGGTAACAGTGTAACAGAGAGTAAAAAACAAGCACATTTTACCTTCTCTGCTGTTGCTACTGTACTTGCTATGTTATCCTGAAGAAACACTACTACAGTATGTAACTTAAACATGAATTGGAATATTATCTTAGGGTAGTGTTTCCCACTAGCAGTGTTTTTGTAGTATACAAATACATACGGTATCTTTGTAACATTTTGCACTGTATCATCATTGGAAAGGACAATCTAGATTTCTACAGTTGACACTTCCCATAATCCCATGATAGGAGACAGGAAAAGCTAGGAATGAAATAATTCATTGCTTGTTTGGTAGCTGGTAATGTATTGATCCAGGAATTTAATCCAGTCTTTTTCCCAAAGGAACCGACAGAGTCACATGTTTGGCCACCTGAATCCAGCCACCCAGATCTCTGTGGGTGATGAAGTGTCTTCTGGTGTACACCCCGAATGCTTTTATTTTCTGCTTCTGCCGCTAAGCCTTTGTTTTCATGTTGGTCTTTTCCAACAGCCTGTAGGGTTCCTCACATTTTTCCAAACCCCACCGAGACATAAAGGTTTGGAGTTGTAATTAAGACTAGTTTGTCAATTCAACCTTCAAAGGCTCAGGCAGCACAGAGACCAAAAGGCCCTGTGGCTCTCTGGAACCAGAAATGAAGGATTACTGTTGTTTCGGTTGACTCAAGACTGTCTCAATCCTTTTCAAAGGTTCCTCCAAGTAATGTGGTACCTCTTTGAGTCTTAAGTAAAAACATTCATAATTGTGTTTATTGGGGGGGTTAAAAAACTTTGATTATGGAGTAGTTATTTAATATTCTGTACCATCTAGACAATACAGGCAAGTAAACGATCAGGGCACACAAATAACTACACATGCTAGGTCAAGGGTCCCCAATCCTGGTTCTGGAGCATCATGTGTCTGTAGGTTTTCTAGGTCTCTTAAAAGCATCAGTACCTGAAAATTTGGGAGGATTAAACTAGGGCACTTAAGCCAGTAAAGATCTTAATTAAGACTGTCAGGAGCTCAGATGGACTGAGAATCTGAAGACACTGACTCAACAGGACCAAGATTCCTGGAATACGTGATGCTTATGGTGCAAAGTCTTCCATCCTTGTCCTAAAGAGAGCCCAAGTCCACTAAATCCAATTGCTCAGGACAATTATTAAGTATTGAAGGATCTGTAAATCTGTTCAATTTAAGAAACCTTTAGAGCTAAAGGATACTCAGATTTTGATCTCAAAGGATCTCTATAATACTTCATTTAAGTACTACTCAAAGTCATGCAACACCCCTGTGGCAATGAGGCAGACTTACGATCTGATATACAGTAGTAATAATAACAATTGTCCCACTTTTACACAGAACATTGCATTGCTGCTTTCGACAAGCACAAAATGCACAACTTAGCAACATCTGAATGTAAACCTGTTTATGCAAAGTTGCCATAAACACGAACACTCTTCTGCACTCTGCCTGTTTTTCTGGTTTTGCTGTTCTTAATGCTTTTTTATGTGATGTATTGTCATGACAAATAAAAATAGTTCTCATTACCGCCATAAGGGAACAGATGGGAGGCTCATTAGTGCCGCTAATCAAATTGATACTGAACTGCCTATCCAAAACTGTCCGTCAATTTGACAAAAGATCTGCTTACTGGTGCCACTAATTTTAGGGCGGTTTAAGCATTAACGTGGAAAATTAGGAGGTTAGTAGAGTTTTCTGACAATTTAATTTAAATGTAGAGAAAGAGTTTAATGGAAATAGTACAGTATACTGTAAGTGTAGTGTCACATAGATTAAAATACTCAACATCTCTGCAAACACATGGATTGCTATGCCCAGCATGTGGATACGCAAGGAGAAAATATAGCTACAGTGTTATTCAAAAGTACTGGGACAGCAAAGTCAAAAATTATTTTTGCTTCACAGCCAAGCAATTTGGTTTTGCGATTATGAGATTCATTTAAATCATAAGTACCATATGGGTTTTATTTTTGAATAATTCCATGAATACATTTGATCAAATTACAACACAAATGTGTAGAACCCAGTGAGGACTCAAGAGACAATGGGACAGATTCACCTTAAATACATTTCACAGTGTAACAGCATTTTCTTGCCTACTGTATATCTATGAGGATGAAAACTGAAAATATGCGTCCCATTGAGCTCACCAAACTCTTCATATCATTACTTGAGATACTTTGCCAAGTCTTTGCTGCTGGCACTTTTGAGTTTTTTCCAGTTCTATGGGAGTTTTTCCTCCGGCATGTACAATGCATGCGCAACCGGATTTTAATCTGGAGATTGAACATTTACATGAACAAAATGAACATTTAGTTGTTCCTCTGCAGCCTATGGATGTTGAACCTCTTCATAATAATGGGAGACCCAGTTCCAGAGGCTGTTATGCCCACCTGGGCGGTAACACAACATTCACCATGCTTCACAAGGTGCTACTCTTTGGGACCTCTGCAGTTCCTTTCTTTCTCCACACCGTCACCTTCCTTTTCCTATGGCAAAGGTTTATCTGGGTCTCATCTGTCCACAAAACTTTGTTCCACAACTCGTCTGGGTCATCTTTGTACTTCCAAGCAATTTCTGACCTGTCTTCGGTTCTTGGTGTTAATGAAAGGAGCCTTTGTAATTCCGCTGTCTCAAGGTCTTACAAATTGTCGATTGGCGGTTGGGATATCGTCACATCTGCACGCTGGAGGATTATGATGATGATAGCACTGACAATTGTTTTAGGGCTTGTTGTGGGAATGTTTTGGCCATAAACTGCAGATGTTTAGATTCCATAGTAGTTCGGGTTTTTAATTCCAGTTTGGTTGAGCTCAACCTGGCCTGTCTAAATTTCCCACTTAATTCACAGGTAAAGCCATATTTCACTCATCTAAATTGTACTGGGGCTGTACATTTGATTTAAAACTTGAATTCTCAAACTAAAGACTTCTAAGGGTGAGATAGGTTACAGTAAACAGAAAAAAATAATGAAAAATATTGATAGTATTAGACATGCAAACTCAATATTTGTTGGATATGCACCTTCCAGCATTTTACACTAGCTGGGTGCAAGATTTGCTCAAGATCTCAGGTTGCTTGGAAATCATGTATGGACAGCAGTTTTCAAATCTTTCCACAGGGTCCCAATCAAGTCAGAACTTTAACTGGGCCACATAAGAACACTCACTTTCTCATTCTTAAATGATTCCAGTGATCTGTATCTTTTCCCTCTTGAAAGATGAATTTTTAAATAGGTTTTAAGTCTGAAGCAGGATTTCAGTCAAATTTACTGATACTTTCCTCTCTCTATCATGCCAACAGTCCAGACAAGCTCCCTGTCCTTGCCGATGAGGAGCAGAACTATAATACAATGCTGTCACAAACCAGGTTTGATAGCTGCGATGATGCTGACTTGAGTGCTGTACTATGTAGGTTCTGTGTCAGATGCAATACATTGTGTTTAGAAAAAGTTCCAGTTTTGTCTCATCTGACCACAAAACATTTTGATTTTTGTTTGCAGTACCACTACACTCCTTTATTGCAAAACCCATGTAGGATTTGAGAAGAGTTTCCATTCTACCATACTGTAGAGTGACAGATTGTGTTGATTGATGCTCATTTTCTCCCAAGTAACTGAACTCTGTAGCTCTTTCCAAGTTGCTGTTGGCCTGACAGTTGTCCCCTTAATCAGTTTCCTCCTCGTGCAGCTGCTCAGTAAGAAGGGACAGCCTGATCTAGGCAGTGTGTGGGTGGTGCGATACGCATTTCACTTCTTAATGATCGACTTCACCGAGTTCAAAGTGATAGCCAGTGTTTTTTTTATCTTTCTTATGCCTTTATCCCCATTTGTGCTTTTCTCCAATTTTATTCTGAGCTGCTTTGAAAACTCCTTAGACCTCATGGTTCAATTTTTGCTTGAAATTCACTACCTGGCTGAAAGAACTTAACAGAAACAGGTGCATTTATTGCACAATCCTATGAACCACTATCTCACAAGGGGTCCTTAACTAATTGTGTGGCTTGTTCGTGTTAATTTTGAGCACCCTCAATTAATTTTGGCTTACCACATGAAAGTGTTTGTATACTTATGCAATTATGATTTTCCCATTTTTCTTTCATACTGTATTATCCATTTACTTCTTTCTTTCTTGTGTGGAGTATATTACAGCATGTGGATAGAACAAGTGATAAATGCTACCTCAAAGACTGCCAGCTTTAAAGCACCAAACTGTTTTGCCCTTTATGTTTAAGGATGTTTGAAAACTCAATGTAGTTTACATTAAGAAAACACCAGTAAGACATGGCTTGTGGGCTTCCACAACTGGACCTGTGAACCACTGCAATAGAGTAGGCTTCCACACAACTTGATGCCTTTAACCAGGGATGGGCACCTCATGTTCTCCCTAGGGTCTGAGGGTCTTCTTGGATTCACCTTTGATCTGTGTTTCTGAACTGAACTGAACAGTCATTTGACTGAAAGATACTCTACCTGTCCCAGCTCCAGGAGCTCAGCCCGCGAGGCCTGGGACTGCCCTTCCCTGTCTTTACTCATAGTCAGCCCTGGGCAAGTAAAAAGCGACCTGAGCAGGCTACGTGGCACACAAGCAATTCACAGTGAAGGGTGAATGCAAGAAGAAACCAGAGTTGGCAGCTCTGAATGTGACACTACACTAGTGATACTCACTCCTGGTCTGCAACCCTCCAGGCTTTATATGCAATGTATAATGCCAGTCAAAGAAGATAAACACAAGGAAACTGTGGTAAAGAGTTAAACTCAAGTCCACAATGGTTTCCGTCCAAGTCAGGAAGAGTCCAAAGAAGAATGATAACCAGTAGACACAACAGCAATCTTGGGCCTGATGTGAATATGAACATTATTTACCAGTAAGAAGAGACCACTGTGGAAGAGATGTAGTGATTCTTAACTCCATGTCATTCCTGTCCTGCTGCATAACGTCATTTCCAGGTCATTTTTGTGAGAATTTGTTGATTTATCTGGTTAAATGAAGGCTCACACATGATTGTTGTACAACTGTACAACACTCTACACTCGAAGCTTCACTGACTCTTTCAGCACCACTGCAAGGAATCCGGCTCACTCTTACATATCCAGGTGTCTTTCACCCTAGTCCAGGAGAACTTCCAATTTACTACGTCCCTTTAATCCAAAGATTTTATACAATAAAAAGATATTGATCAATCACACTGTATATTACTACAGACCGCATAACAACACACCCATATGGTTGGATTCTGATCAAAATAATGTCTTTACATTCCTAAAAGTGTGTTATGTACTCATACTTTAAAAGAAAAGAAATAAAAGGTAAATACCTTGTTATGATCTTTTTTTCTGTCTTGATCCTAGATTATTGAGAATTTAATGTCTGACAATTTGTTTACATTAGGGGGTCAATAAAGATGATAGACCATCGACTATCTATTTGATTTGTATGATCTATACACTAAACCCTGCGGAATATAGCCATTAATTATCAGGACCTCCAACAGTATTTATTACCTTCATCGGCGCGCAATGTTTTGTTGAATAAATAATGCAAGGAGGGATTAAGAAGGCAAGGCGACTGTGATACAGCCCAGTCACCCTCCGCCCCCCGACAAGCAACAGCAATATGAACACCGCATTGATTTTGTTTTTCTATGAATCAGTATGACCATCAACACCTCCGAACCCGTTCTCCTGGGATTCGGGTCGTAATTTGATTCATTCGGGTTGTATGCGAGAGCAGACTCGCTCGAAGATGTGCTATTACTACTCAATGCACATGAAAATGAAACACCGTTTCCTTTGCTTAGCAACTGAGGGCTGTAGAGGGAAAAAAAGCAAAGCTTACCATGAAATAATCTGGAAATCTCGAAAATAGCCGACAACATAATCAGTACACCTTCTCAGGTACAGTCTTTGGCAGACGTATTAAAGGTAAAGGTGTATTATGAGTAGGAGTGTCTTCATATTTATTAATTCTAACGAAGGGCTGTTTTGCGCTCTTATTCTGAAATAGTCAAATGTCAACTGAAAAAAAAAACACTGCGGGAGCTCCAGGGTTTAAAAATGCAAAAGCTTTAGTCATCTGTGCAAATCAGCCATAATAAGACATTTTGCCTTGAAGTTACCACTAGCAAACATGCAAAATACTCTGTTAAAATGAAATGCAATTCATTGTCGTTGGCCAAAAGCAAAAAAAAAACATTAATAAAAGCAAAATGAATGGCAGACAAATCAAACACAAAAAGGACGATTCTCACCTTTAATTTTCCTTTGTAGTTTTTCCCAAAACCCGAATGCAAAGCTCAAGTGATCGAAGAGACGCACGCAACGAGCTGACAGAATTTCAGACGAGTTAACTAGACGAACTGAGCGATCTCGTGCAAAAAGATTTATCTTCGTTTTATTTTCTCACGTGTAATAATATTATCTGTGGTCCAAACGTCGTTTCGCGACCTCCCCGACTGAAATGATGAACGCTGTCTTTCTTATTTTGCCAGGGGAAGATGTAATTCGCACAACCTGCTCCTACCTCGGCTGTAGTCTCTGCAGAAGCTGCTGAAATTTAAGGTGGAGCAACGAAGAGGCTTTCTAAAAGCGTTCACCTCCCCCTTAAACACGTACACGTAAGCAGAGAACACTGCACCGTACAAGACCCAGGACTGTATTACAAGGCCTACATATGACATGTATACTGTACATCTAATCATAAACGATCTACTGTACGGTCATCTATTCAAATACTCTCCCCTATATCACCATTATTGATTTGTTGATCTAGTGGGTAAATGTACAAGTTATGTGTATAGGCCACAAGGGTATTTGTGATCATTGCTGTCCAATATAACTCAATAAAATGTAGGGCAGGGGTTGGAATCAGGCTACACTTAAAACACTTATGAGTGTGATTTGTTTGACTTGGTCATACATCCACCGTGAACACCATCCTTCACCGATTCTGCCACACCTCAGTGTGATACAAAATCAAAAGCATTCATTTACAGTATGCCCATCGACCTGACC